AAGCTTTTCCCTTATGTTCCCTTCCTGGAGTTTACAATCTCAGGTCTTATATTTAGATTTTAATCCATTTCAAGTTAATTTTTATGTGTTGAAAGACAAAGGTCCAATTCTATTCTTTTACATGTGGATATTCAATTTTCCCAGCACAATGTATTAAATAAGCAACATTTTTCCATTATGTGTTTTTGGAAATTATGTCAAAAACTAGTTGATTATATAAGCCTGGATCTATTTCTGGCCTCTGTATTCTGTTCCATTGGTCTATGTGTCTGTTTTATGCCAGTATTATGCTTTTCTGATTACCAGAGCTTTACAGTATAGTTTGAAATCAGGGATTATGATGCCTCCAGGTTTCTGCACTCATGTGTTCATTGCAGTATTATTCACAATAGCCTGGACAAGGAAACAGCCTGTTAATGCTTGAATGAATTAATATATCGTTTCATATACACACACAATTAGAAATTATTCAGCATTTAAAAAGAACATGCCATTTGTGACAATATGGAATAACCTAGAGGACAGTACACCAAGTGAAAGAAGCAAGACGCAGAAAGACAAATGCTATATATGATATAACTTACATGTGAAATCTAAAAAAGTCAAACTCATAGAAACAGAATGGCGGTTTGCAGGGGCTGGTGTGTGGAGCAAATGGAGAGTTGTGGGTTAAAAAGTACAAACTTTCAGTCAAAAGATGATAAATTTTGGTGATTTTATTTTTTTTGAGACAAAAGTCTTAATTTGTCCCCCAGGCTGGAGAGTAGTGGCATGATATCAGCTCACTGCAACCTCTGCCTCCTGGGTTCCAGCAATTCTCATGCCTCAGCCTCTGGAGTAGCTGGAGTTACAGGTAAGGTACCTGTCACCATGCCCAGCTAGTTTTTGCATTTTTAATAGAGATGGGGTTTCACCATGTTGGCCAGACTGGTCTCGAGCTCCTGACCTCAGGTGATCTGCCTACCTTGGCCTCCCAAAATGCTGCAATTACAGGCATAAGCCACCACACCCGGCCCAAATTTTGGTGATCTAATGCACAGCATGATTACTACGGTTATTCATACTGTATTATTTACTTGATATTTGCTAAAATTGTAAATCCTAAATGTCCTCATCAGATATGCACACACATACACACACACACAATGGGTAACTATGTACAGTGATAAGTGTGTTGATTAATTTAATTGCAATAATAATTGCACAATGCACATATTTATCAGATTATTACACTTACACTTTGAAAATATATAATTTGTATTTGCCAATTATTTAATAAAGCTTAAAAAGGTTTATTTAATCACATGAATTATATTAGTTCAGGAACCAGCTTGCTGCCTCCCTGTTCTCTAAACACCTCGATTCTCAGAGCAGTATCCACTTCAACAATAGTGACTATGTACATACACATAAACACACACACACCTCATTATATATGTGTATAATAAGTGAAGTACACAACTATGCATTTAGTTCTAATTACTCATTCTCTCAAAGTATTAAAAATTGAACTACATCAAATATATATGAAAATCACCCATGAAATATCATAATCATAATTTTCAACCACCTATAATTATACAAGGTAAAAATTGAGTCATATTAGCCAACCCTTTAATCTGGAAGCTTCTTGAAGACACCAAAAGTAGTGCTAGTGACAAAAGCTCCATGGTGCATTCTCTTGAGTGTACCTGATGAAGAGTGCACTGTGGTCACTGCGTTCACATCCGAGTCCACCATGAAGCCACAGCTGGATTCTGTCAAGGTCCCACGGACAGTCACAGGAGCGACAGTGGCATGGCGCAGGGCAGCCTTCAGTGGTGCTATGTGGTTGTACTGGACGGAAGTCATGCATCCAACAAAACCCAGGGCGTTTGCTTTAGCAACTTCAGAATCCAAACCAAGATTCTCTGCAATGTAAAAGACAATCAGAAGCCCTTCCATTTTTTGATTTTTCAAATTTTGCTGGGTCCTCTTCAAGTAATGTCTAAAATTGTAGAAATTACTTCATTATTCTTTGAGTAGAGAAAACCCTTCCCTATCTCTTTGTATCTCGTTTTCCCGACTCCACTCCCAATGCAAGCATCAATATATCAACCACATTTCAGAGAAAACTTTCAGGGCCATCTCTGCTTTGAAATAAAAATGTTCCAAGCTTCTAAATTTTCATTCATGTATTTTATGAACTGTAACAAAGACAATAAATCTGTTCTGTACTCTAGGAGTTTTATAAAATTTGTATCATTATCCCCATCACCATTTATCTTTGGATGCTGTTGATTAGTGCAAGCACACTACGATGTTCATTATAACACTTCGCTCAAAAATGTAGCTAGAGAAAAAAAAAATAAAGGGGTAGAGAGATTAGAAGTCAACACTGTCCTTCTAAAGATTTATTGTGTAAATTATTTTAAGCCACTGTGTAGACTGACCTTCTATTCAAGATTTCCACCTGCTTGCTTCTGTCCATGGAACTGATTGGTGTGCATGGGTTTTTTATGGTAGCATTCGACTTCCTAAAGTATCTTTGAGACTTTATAAAACATGAACATGCAATAATTTGGGATTCATAGCAAGATCAAATGTCTCATTTTATTTAAGATTTGTGGTAAGATTACTCAGTTTTCCATTTATTTTTCTTAAAAGGGTCATTTGAAGAAACTGCTATGATGCAATTACATAAAACTGCAATGCATAATGAGCCATTTTTTTTCCTAAGAAGTAATAGTCTTAACATACCAAGATGGTTTAAATGGTTATTTATTAAGATAATTTGTTTGTTTTCTGAAAGATGGTAGGAACTCTCTCATCTACCAAGTGTAGATTATGATTTTATTTTGATTCATAAATGGTCAAACAGTCTCCATTGGTCTGTAAGCATGCATCATGTTAGCAACATTAAGGAAGAAATGCGATGAGGATATGGAAGAACATGAGAAATCCACCTCCCTTAATACTGCCTTTTCTAAGTTTTGCTTTAATTTTACTCTCCTCCTTCAACACCCATGTAAACTTAACCAACTTATCATCTCTGTCTTCTTACACAAAAAAATAAAATTGTGTATTCATGTTATGTGGCTGCTGTGACAAATTGCCACCAACTTAAATGACTTAAGACAGCTTAAAGCACAAGTGTGTTATCTTGCAGTTCTGTGGATTTGAAGTCTGCTCTAGCTTTCATTGAGCTAAAAATCAAGGTGTCAGCAAGGCTGCATTTATTCTAGGGGCTCTGGGGGAATACTACATATCCTTGCCTTCTCTAGCTCCTGGAAGCCACCCACATTTCATGACTTCTGTAGACTCCTTCTCTATTCCAAGCAAAGCAATGTTACATTTCTCTGTGTCTTTCTTCCATAGCTACTTCAGCCTATAATTCTCTTTTATCTCCTTCTTTTACTTTTACAGGCCCTTTTGATTATACTAGATTCATCCTGATAATACAGGATTATCTTCCTATTCCAAATACAGCTGATGAGCAACATTAATTATATTTGTGACCTTACTTCCTCTTTGGCACATAGCCTAATATATTCTTGGGTTCTGAGATTTAGGATGCAGACATATTTGTGGGCCGTAATTCTATCTACAACTTCAGGTCTGAGATTTTGTGAGAACTTTCCCAATAATGATAATGAAAATCCAATAATAATGTGAAGTGTCTGTCACTTCTTCAAATATAAAAGAACACTGAGATGTATGAGGAAACGTCTGTCTTCCAAATATTCAAATAAATCTCACACACCGTTGACATATATTTTTACTTATTCATGAAAGAATCACATACGTTTGTTTGTTATGATCTTTAAAAGACTGTGTCCCACATGAAGCATCTCACAAAAAACTTTAATGGACTGGATGCTTTTTGCTGGTGGCAACAGAACTCACTGTACCCAGATACAATTCAGAATATGGATTAGGTATAGACTGGTAGTTAGCAAGAGGTAGAGTTAAAGATCAGAAATATTTAGAGGAAGAGGCAGAAGACAGGAGAAGAGGAGCATAAACTGTCATGAATTTTTTGCATTGCAGGATTTCAGAATCGTGGAAAGTGATAAGTCACTGTAGTTCTGCCTGAGGGGTCTAACTCAAAATTGCCAACTCGTATTCCCAAAACTCAGTGGGAGAGAAGCCTACATAGTGTCAAGGTCCTTGGGGGACATCACTATAGTGACTGTCATGAATACACACTCCAGGTGGAAGAATATGTGCACAGATAAGTTGGGGAAAATGCCAGCAAATGGACATTCTCACTTTGAATGAAGAAATGTTTTAAATAAAGCCCTATCTCTAGGGAAGTGTGTTTCTTCTAGATGTATTATAAGGACAGAGACCTGGAGGTGTTTCTGAAAATGAATGAAAAGAACAAGAATCACTGATAGGATAAAATGTTCTCGGCATGAAGCTCAAGATTATAATTTGTCAGATTCTTACACAGATGGAGAGAATGTAAACAAAAATAAAACAAAAGTTAGGAAGGTTCTAAATGATTTTAGTTTCTCATCATAGTGTTAAATAATTCATAGTATGTTATAATAATTTTCCAAAAGCAATAATTTTAAAGCTGCAAAATACTCAACATTCGCCACTTACTGAATAGCTACATACAACTGTAATAATTGTTGTCAAAGGATTATTTCTATTACCCTCAAAATTCTTCCAGGTGTGTGTTCTCAACCTTCAAAATTTACAGATTACGTAACTGGGACTCAAAGAAGTTCAAAGATGTACTGAAGATCATATAGCGGGGTTGAGATTTAAACCCAAGTCTACATGATGTTAAATGCCAAATTCTAAGCAATGCAGCCTCAAAAAAAAAAAAAAAAGTCCAAGATATCTCCTGTGTGCTATATGGAGTAAAATAATTTTACATAAATTATCTAAAAAATGGGTTGTAAAAAGTATAGAAAGCACAAGTTATTTTGGTTAAATGCCTCACAGAATTTACTAAACTCTGTATTATATTAAAGACAAATGTATTTCCTAATTTGTTTTTATATTTTTAGGTTAAAATTACATTAGATTCATACACAGTTAGATGAAGGGACTGTGTTATATGCTTTGCTAGAGAATGGATGTTGAAGACAAACTTAATAGTGCATGTAGCTCCTCAAAAGCTGATAAAATGGGAATGCAAGCAAAGTCCACGCCATTGAAAAATACCAGTATTCTCTTCTTTGCATTTATCAAGATTTTACACTAACTTAAAAATCTTATCCCCAAAGGAGAATTACAATGTTCACAAGTCATACTATTGCCTTAAGAAACCAAAGGTATCTCGTAAAGAAAAAGCAGCAGCATCTCCAAATGTCTTATTTGAAATTGACTTAGTTTCTCTCACTCAATACATTTCAAATATCATCAAATACAATTCTTGATTCTCTTGATTTTAGTCTCATGCCCTCCAATAGTGATGGAAACACAGCATGGGCTTCTGATAGGTACAGGTTGGAAATTAGCTAGACCTAATTTGATGAATCGTTAACTTGCACATATGATGTCTGTTTCCACATTTCTTCAATTTTATCCACTATAAAATAGAAATAATAGTACCCATCACATGAATTGTATCAGAAAGAAATAAAATAAAAGTCAAATTTATAGCTCAATAACCATTAATGCATCTTTGGTGTTTTTATGTATTTGTTTGTTTTCTGTATATATTTATGTTGTTCAACATGATATTTTAACATATGCATACATTGTAGAATGGCTAAGTCAAGCTGTTTAACATAACATGGGGAATTACCTTACATACTATTTTTGAGCATTGTAAAAAAACTTAAAATCTACTCTCAGCAATTTTCAAATATATAAGATATTGTTATTAACTGCAGTCACCATGATGTATGATAGGTTCCCCGAACTTATTCTCCAGAACTTATTATCCATTCTAACTGAATGTTCAACCTTTGACTAACACCTCACCATAATAAATGCATATTGTTAGGAGGAGGAACAGGAGTGCTAGTTAAGAGTATTAGTAGAATCTTTGACTTCTCCTATTATTCATCAGTTCCAAACTCTTTTGCCTGGCTCCAGTGGCCCTCAACATTCCCAAGTATTATTGCATTTAGAACTAAGGTGTAGATGCTAATATGCTTGCTGTGGAAATCTATAAAATTACCATTTACTACTGATTCAAAATTGAACAAATGTAGCACTCAAATTTTGAATGACTTAGTCAATTTATTCTAAACTAACTTTTTTGGGTATTTAAAATTTGACTTTCTACATTATTTCGTAAACACCTTTATTTCTTGTAAATAAAGCGATGCTCCTCTACTAAATCTAGTAGATTTGTGATGCCAGAGAAAGTAGCATAGAGCCAATTTTAGCCTCAGAATGCATAGCGCTTTACACAGTCACAATTGTTTGACAGGAAGAGAGTGCTAGAAGAAATCCAGGCTAATTTTGTGCAAACAGGTTTGTGCGTTCATATGTGTGGTTTTTTACAGGAAAGAAAGAAGAAAAGATCAGCAATTTGCTAAAAACAGACATTGCTCTTGGTTGTGATATGACATTTTCTACATGTGAAAACTTACTTATGACACTTGAATCCTAAAATATCACAATACAAAGCCATACAGATCCATACAACAGGGGCTTATAAGAGTAAAATGTTGTATAGAGATAAAATATAAACAAGCGGAATCGATGTTAATGAAAGATATGAGCAGTGTACAAAAATAAAAATTGTTCCCTCTGGAGTTCATTGTAGCTTTCGGATAAGAAACAAACAGTCTGAAACTTCACACAAAAAGTGCCCAAAGTCCAAGAAATAAATAAATAAATCTTCCAATCCTGAAAGAGGATTGTCAAATTTGCTTAAACACACACACACACACACACACACACACACACACACACACACACACACAAACTAGGCATTTGCTTACTGCTGTTATACTTA